TTACAAACTCTAAACAAAAAACTCTCAAACACTCCACAACTCTTTCTTGGTTGTGTTTCAACACTCTCTAGGTTGATTGATCACTCAAGGATGATTTGAATGATGAAATGACAAGACTATTTATAGGCATGAGCAAGGACACAATTGTTGACAAATGTATGTGTGTGAATGGTGAAGGTTTGGTGGAGGCATCCATTGAAGAGTTCTTCCTTGGTGGGCTTGAATCTTCATGTGTGTGCTATTGAAGGTTTGGTGGAGGCAACATGCATGGAACTTTCATGCTTCAGGACTCAAAGGGTTCCCTATTGCTTTTCGATTGTCATACCGGGGTGTTGAAGGATCTTGGCATCCGTAATAGCGGATATGGTTATGCGAGGATTTATCCTTATGTCCAGAGCACATGAAAGAGGGCTCCCTTTCAGTTGGATCATTATGTTGACAGAAAACAGAGCTGATATTGGTTATGGTATGGTGGCGTATTTCTTTATTTTTATTTATTTTTTTCGTTTTGTTGTCTGAATCTTATCTGCGCTATGCAATGGTTCTTTAGCCTGTTGTTGGACGTGCTATGTCGTACTTGTGATATCTTTCAGTGCATCGATGGTACGAATCTTTGTTTGGTGCCTTTATTTTACGTGCGATTGCAAGCTTAGTGGACACATTGTTTCCTTTGAGATATTCTGTCACCCCGATGATATGATAAGAGTTAAAGCTCTCCTTTTCGATTTTGCGACCTCTGGTTAGGAAATTATTCTCTCATCTGAAATGGAAATCAACCGATTCCAAGACCTCTTAGCCGAGCCGAGCCAAGGTCTATCTTACCAAAAACAAAATCTTATAACCTTATTGATGTCACATCTCATTGTGTGGCCCTTGTGTCTGCACAATCTTATTTTCCTCAACTGGAGCACTAACACATTGTTACATGATGAATTCTAGCCAGCTCTATACGATCCGATTGCATTAATAACTGGTCCTCGAGTTCGGCTGATAACAACTAAGTTGGCCGATAGTTGAACGACTCTTCACTAGAATTAGTTAGAATTAATTGATATCATGGAGCAAAGGTCCTTGAGGAGATAAACACAGGCAGACCCGGATCCAGTTCCAAACTTCTGTTTAATCTACTTAGGCTCATTTTATAAGCTTTTGTGTCTAAGTCTCTCTTATTCCACTCTGATTCATTCAATTGAAGCTTATTTAGCTAACTTTTGATAAGCATGTTCTTTAACCGTTCGCTTTAGGCAATCAATTAACAAGCCGTTAAGAATCCGACTAAGTGGGGTCGGTTATATGGATCACATGCCGTCATCGTGCTCGATCAGAACACTTATCCTCATTCAAATTCAAATACTTTAAATCACTGTTTATTGTTTATTTCCAAGTTTTCTTATGTCTACTCCCCCTCTCTCTCTTTTTAATTTACATTATTAATTCTATTGTTTTTATCCTTCTCACCGACGCTCGAAGTCTCCTACGCACATGCACATGCTCAAAGCATCTTAGTCGTGATTCTCTCATTTTTTCTCTATGGGCGCTACCTCAAATAACTTTGTACTTGGACATAATTATGTAAACTGAAATATTATTTTAAAATTTATATTTTAAGCACTTATAATAAAAAAAAAAAAATTAAATAATTTCAGTAAAATTACCTTATAAAAAAATTAATTCATATAGTTTACATTTACACAACAACTTAATGAAATTTATTGTAAAAGTTAAAAAAATAAAAAACTATATTTTAAGAATGTATAATTTAAATTATTATAAATGATAATATTAATATGTAACAACATAAAAAAAAAAACTAATTAGAAAATTATTTTATTTTACTTTTTGTAAATAAAATTGTTAAAAATATTATTTGTGAATAAAATTTTCATTTTGAACAAATTAAGAATATATAAAGTTAGTACTTATAATAAAAATTATTAAATATCTTAGTAAGAAAATTAATTCGTATAAGTCATATTTATGCAAAATTTTAGCCAAAATAATTTTAAAAGTTCAAAAAAATTGAAATTGCGTACAATTTCCTTCCTCTTGATGATAAAGCTCTGTTTCAAGACTCAAGGGTTCCTTATTTTCACGGTTCACGGGTACAATGTACATGTACACCAGTTTACAAGTGTAAATGTGTAATTAACTCAACACATACAAGGATAGCCAATGGACAATAATTGCATGTATATTTTATTCACTCAAATTTCAATTAAATATTCTAAATCCCTAGAAAAATTTCTCCATACCCATTGACAGATCTGTGGATCGATCATCCATCTACTTAAATCGGTCATCCATCTGCTCAAACCGATCGTTGATGACGGCGTCACGATAAATTATATATTCTTATTCAAAATCAACCAAAGAACATCAAAGAAGACGAGTCATTTAAATAAAGCTTTCAAAACCCTAAGACGAATTTTTCCACCAACCCAAAAAATATGAAATGCTAATAATAATATTATTAAACAGTATTCTGCATCACAAACTTAACAATGCTCCGAATTAAACGAAACAACATTTAATATTTTGCTTTATAAAGTGTTCAATCGTATGAGACGACTTTCAAACATCCCAATAATATTCTACGTATAAGAGAGA